TACATCCGGGCTCCAGTTTAGATTCCTTCATTGGAAGCATAGTTCCTTCATGTTCCTGCTATAGACTTTCCAGCTTCCACCACTGACCTGTGGGCCTTTCCAGTGCAGATCTGTGAAACAGACCTCATAAGACATTATTGTGAGCTCTAGGCCTCTACTTTTTTTTTTAAATTTGGAGAAGTGTTTATTTCCATTTCTTATTTTGTAGTTGTTAACAATCACAACATTTACAGAGCTCACTTTAGTAACACATGCACTAAAACTGCAACATTTATATTGTTATTAATATTAGATACTAACATTCATTAGCACAATAATAGAAAATAGTAAAGTTATAACAAACGGAATTTGGTTGAATTTGAGAAAAAATATTTAAAACTCAAGAGTAATGATAAAAGACTAAAGATTTCAATGTGGATATATTTCAAAACATGGAAGTAGTGAAGACAGCGACACATACGCAAAAGAGACAAGAATTAAAAGTTGTCATCATGATCCATCAAATTTAGGAAAATGACAGCATAAAGAGCATAAGAGACTGACTATGAACAGCTGCATTACCTAGACAATGAAATATCTTTAATTTGTGTAACTAGAAGAAACAAAAACAACTCATGTACACCAAATGTCAAGAATAAGATGCAATCTCAAAATCATAACTTGAGTCCTGTCTGTCCATAAAATTAAATACATAAATACTTTTTAAATACATTTCTTAAAAGAAAAAATCACATTCTAATTTCAAACTTGATTTGATAACATAGTAGTGTAAGACATGAGATAAACCCCTTCTAATTCTCTATTCATACCACCTTTTAAATTTCTATGCATAATTTAACTTCAGACATCAATTGTTCCACTTTTTCAGCACTTTGTGGGATGGCTTATATACTTGACTCAAGAGAAATATTTCTTTTTTTTTTTTAAGAGAAACGTTCCTATGGGCATTAGGTCTTCAGCTGAACTCATGCAGAACAAGTACATGGGATCAAGCCCTCAGCTAATTTGGTCTTTAGTGTGTGGAAAAATTTGTATATGATTCTTTTTGTTTATGATTCTTTGAGTGATACGTTTATAATAATTTATAAAATATGTGTCATGTATTGTATTACTCCCCTTGCAAAACCCCAAATACAACAGCAAGGGGATATGATTTAATACAGGCCACATAATTATAAGATTATTTTATACTAGTCACACAGAGTCATATACAAAGCATTCAGAAAATCTGTCCACATACTAAAGACACAAAAAATCCACTTCAGGGCCTGGATCCTATGGCAATGTCCTGAATGAGTTCAGCTGAAGAATTATACCCCATGAACCCCCACAAGTCCAACCGGAGGTCTAGAACCCATTACAATGTCTTACATAAGTCTGTTTTATGGATCTGCACTGCCAAGACCCAAAGGTGAGTGGTGGAAGGTAGAAAGTGTAATGCCAGCTGGGAGAAGGATCTGTAGTAGCAAGCTCTGGGATCTGAACAGGAGCTAGGAAGCAATACTCAAAGTAAAGACCACAGCTCCCCAAAAATGTACCACATCCATCCTCAGTGACTATGGAGAGCCCTTTCCAGTACTCATCAAGATCCAGGAAGTTTATATTCATATTCTCATGGAAAAGTTATTAGAAATCTAGTGAATTAATTCCAATCTACCATTTCCAATGCAGCTCACAATACAAATGAAGCACAGTAATATATCCTAAATGGTGGGGAGTCAGAAAGTTACTGTGCCTGGCCACAATGATGGCTATCCAAAGCAAAGACCTTTACCCAGCACTGAACACAGATTCTATTCATTTGTGAAAAAAAGAGTGGTTTGAAGATGGATGACTACGAGAATGGCAGGAAGTATGTCAGTGCCATGAGTTGGACTAGATAGAAGGCCTAAAATTACCTCTGCAATATACAGAGAAGAAAATAGACAGAAAGTGTAACCTGTGTTACACAACCGAGATAATATCGAATGTTTTGGGTTCAGTGCTTCATCTCTGTGATGTATAATCTTTCAAGCCCCAGGAAGTCAACTTCTATCTCGAGACTACATTCCAGCCAACAGAGTGGAGCATTGGCTCTTCATCCCATCTCATTCTGGCTCACACAACAGAACAGCATGTGGGGGGTTCTGGGGATTCATGCTTCCCATCTTCAAAACTTAGCGTCAGCACCTCAGCTAAATTGATATGCATTGCTTAAACCCAATTGAAGGTATAAGGAAAAAGTCCTAGCTAGCTCTGTACATGTCAATACATGAAAGTAGGGCCAGGTCAGCCAAAATGGAGACAATTGCTCCTTTTTCAAGGAGGGTCACCCAGGTGGCCCTGAAGCAGAACAAGATTCCAAGCTTATTCAATGATGAGAACAGCTAGGTCCATATCAGGAAAGCCAGTGTGGTAAGCTTCTCCAGGACAGTGAGAAATACACCATCTTCCCCTGTAGAGCCAGGAAGTAATGCTCAATATGACGATCAGAGCTCCCCAAAACAGACTGTAGCCATTCTCAGCAACAAGTTCCCTAGCTCCTTTGATGATGAGAGCAGCCAAATTCATCAGGAAAGCCAGAATGACAAGCTCTTCAGGAGACCCAACAGCCTAGGAGAACTAAGAATTCCCTTATCGCCCCTATTCTTCACCACTTTCCCTTTTTATTTTCTTAGCGATGATTCCTAGGTAGGGCCCCAAAGTGAGCAGCATGCTGGTCCCTTTCAGCTGGATGTTAAAAGTTGACAGTTATCAACCCACCACATCATTCTTATAACAGATCTATAGTATAGTAGAAGGCACCAGTCACTCAGGTAGGTGATCAGAGTAATTGATGCCTTTGCAAGTTTATTTAGGGCTGACACCTCCGTGAGTTTTATTAGGCTTTTGTGTGTTTATGGATTTAGTTAATTATAGGGGCAAAATTCTTGAGATGCAGAACTTAAGAAAAATAGGTTTGGGCACAGTGGGCCAGCCACCAAGACTGGGTGTGGCATTGCACACCTATAATCCCAGTGATGGGGAGGCTGAGACAGGAGGCTCACTGACAGTCTGAGCTGAGAGTGAGATGCTGTACAAAATAAATAAATAAATAAATAAATAATAAAAATATATCAATTTGTGATGAGGGAATTACAGGGCATGAGAAGCATACAAAGAAATGGTTTGGTGGGTGAGAAATGTGGATCCATTTGAGCAATGATTCTGACCTTCATGCTTGGCAATATGTTTACTTTCAGAAACCAGGGTGTTTTTTTGTTCTTTTGTGATTTTCTGTTTCTTGTTTTGGCTTTATTCTCTTTTTTGTTGGTGGGGTGGTATTTTAGAGAAGATTCTACAGGATATTCAGGGTCTCACTACTAGATCAGACTCATAGTGATCCGCCTATTTACAGCCCCCCAAGAGCTGGGATTACAGGTGCATGCCACCATGCTGGGTCTCACTTATCATCTCAGCATGTCCCCAGGGCGGGGCCGGCAAGGCAGGCCCAGAGATCCAACCTCTGGCCCCTGAGCCTACTTGCAGGTGCTTTAACCCACGGAGCTATTTGGTGGGCCCTACTTGTTTTGGTTTTGGATTTTTGCTTGTTTGTTTGTTTGTTTGTTTGTTTTGACCTTGGATGAGTAGGAAGCTTTTGTGGAAGAGTTGAAGTGTTTCCTTTGCTTTGATCTTTACTATTTGGTACACAATTGCTGTTATTTCATTCTAACTTCTTTTGCTTCTTTTAAAAGGCACATATTCATTTTCTTAGCTGAAAATTAATAGAGAGAAGGAGATAGAGTGAACAATCTGCAAAACAAAGCCTGCTGCCTCATTCCCAACTACTGTCCTCTCACACACCCAGTTCTTCTATTCCATTATATGCTGGCCTGGCTCAGGGTATTTTCTGACATAAAGAGATTGATTTTGCACTATAATATTGACCCTGAAACCTCTTTCCTTTTATTTATTTTTTCTTTTTCTTGTGTCTTTTTTTCATTTATTACTCTTAAAAAAAAAACATTTACTTGAGAAACAGTGTGGTAATAATTGGTATGTCTTGACAAGAAGTACATATTGAGAAGACCAGAATGAGAGGCATTCCAAGCGTGACCCTACTATAACACATTGCTATCTTCAGTGCAGTTGCTTGGTTCACAGGTATCAGCATACATAGTTAGTCAGAGTGAAAATCCTAGTAATTAACTGCTAGTTTCAAAAACCTGCTGAAGAATCTCAGGATCATTGCCTTATCCATCTTGTGCATATAAATGTATGGCTTTGCCCCTGTCATGTTTCCCAGCTTTTCTCTTTGCCCTCTCCTTGGGCAGAGGGTCTCACTCACACCTGGGTTTTGGTCCGGAGAGGTCCTGCATGCGCAGGCAGCTGGAAGTTCTCAGACACACTCACCAGGTTTAAGCTGGGCTCCCTCTTTTCTTTTTAGTAAGAAAATCTACTTTTGTTCTCTGTTTTATGAAAATTAAGCAAAATTTCATAAACAAATAATGAAAGAATGACAATAGGTAACAATGGTTAATACAGTGCTATTCACAACAACAAAAGTGAAAGGCTTAACTTTGAAACAGTATTGATGGACTCAAAAATAATATAGACCCTCAATAGAAACAGTGGAGTACAATTATTAAAATATGTCACGTCTATAATTATTGGCCTATGATGACATCCACCATACACTGGCCAATGAAAAGATGATGTAAGAACATGTTTCTATTTTATCTTACAATGTAGTTATGTATGTGTAACGTTTTTTACATTAGACCCTGGAACCTTCTGAACACATTTGTGACCTATTTTCTGAAAGAGTCCACTGAGTCCTATAAGAAAACAGGGGCAAATCTGAGACCCAGGAGTGGAATCTTTCCTCAGGCGAGATAAGATTAACATTTTGGAAGACAGCCTAGTTCACAAGTCTCCGCATTACAATCTTTCACTTGGGCTCCTCTCTGGCAGGTACAGGTTTCCCTCCTTGCCCTTGGCAGGCAGGGAGGAAATAGAGCGGGCGTCAATCAATGAAGAAGGAGAGAGCTGTATAAATTGTCCAATCGGAGGAGGCAAAGTGGGAGGGTTCTTCCTGTGTCATGGCTGCTTCCACGGCGTACCCTGCTGAGAGCACCCTGGCTGGGTAGGCCGCCTTCGGTGACTTCTAGTAGCTGCAGTCTGCATAGGAAGGACCCCAGGAGACCTCCAAGCTATGCAATGGTGACGTTGTGGGACGGGAGCCCTGAAACGGGGTGGAGTCTGGGTGAGGTCCCGTTAGAGTTGGTCCGAACTATGCTGGATGGAGTCCCCAGTTAGCTCCTGATTCTGACGTCGTCCCGAATGGGCAGTGAGTCATTCTAAGTGCCCTTTGCCTCTTAGGGCTGGGCCAGTCTTCGGTCCTCAGAACCTTCTCCCCACTGTTATACCGCAGCCTGGAATGCCGTCCTGAGAAATCCACCGCTGCCTTTGCGTCTCGGCCATTCTGACAAGAGCAGGAGCCTTGGGGAGACCCAGACTCAGGTCTGGGCTAGGGCTGGGCGCAGCAACGGTGAACTACGAACCTGGTTGCGTTTTTGTCAGCAGCAGATCTGGAGGATCTGAAGTTTATAAATACCCGTGCTGCAGGGTCTCACACTCGCAACTCCTCTCTTCAGATTTCTGCTTTTTAATATTCATAGAGAGCTCCTAAATTTGCAAGATATCCCTGCATTTCCAAACTCATGTTAGGCGTTAGAAAAGGTCCTGAGGATTCTAAGAAGTGTGGTGGTGTTCATCGGTGGAGCCCTTGCCCAACACCTAGTAAACTTCTAACTTCCCTCCAGAGTTCAGCGAAACAAATGTAATGATTTAAGTGACACCTCCCCGCTCACAATTAAGCTATTAAAGTGAGGCCTGTCTCAGAATTTAGAATGCGCAAAAACTGAAGGGAATGTTAAAAGTCTTAGCGAGGACAGGAGAGAGTGGACCTGCCGAGGACTTCTTCCAGAAGGGGCTGCCTATTAAACCCACTTGAGAGACACCTTGAGTTGGGACAGTTGCATGGACATATATATATGTGGTGTGGGTGTGAGTGGAAAGGGACATGGATGTCATCTATTAATGGCTATAGATCTTGGCCTGTTTGTAAATATTGCTTAAGTACAGCAGCAACACTGCCTGAGTTAGACATTCAAAGGAGTGCCAGAGGAAGGGAGAGGACCAGATTATAAGTTGTACAGCGTATGGGTGGCTAAGCTTAAAGGTTTTTCCTTAGGCTGGATCAAAGAAGAATGGGAAAGAGGTGGAAGAGAAGGGAATGATAAAAGGTGCCTTCAACACAGATCTTCTCTGAAACTCAGATTGTTCTTAGAGTAAGCATGAAGAAAGAGTTGTGTGCTTGCCTGTTCTGAATTAGGCAAAAAAAAAAAAAAAAAAAGGAAAGGAATTTAGTAATAGATAAATAGGTCTTCTCCCACTGATAGTTTCACCTATTCATTTTGAAGCAAAATCTGAAATTAGGAAACTGTCTGGCCTTAGTGTAGGTTTAAAAATAGAGTGGACCCCATCATTGAACTAGAATGAAAGGGCTGTTACTGTATAAAAGATTTGCAGGTGTACTTGATTTTTTATTGTTTTGTTTTTTGATGTAGAAGCTCCCCCTGTAGTGCAGACTGGCCTTGAACTCGTTTATGTAAC